ATTGCCAATCCCACGGAAAAAGGGACCAAAATTAAAGTGGGTCACGGACTCACGGGGGGTTGACCCGATCATAGTAAAAGGGTGGTTGGTACTTGGTAGGTATTGATGAAACGGATCTAGTTTTTTTCTAAGAGTAAATTTAATGAATGATCCCTATGGTTACTGGTTATTTATATGATTGGTCCCTAACTTATATTTTTAACTAGGAAAGTCCTACTGTTTGTTTTTGTTGCGTATTTAGTCCCTGTCTTATCTAAAAAAGACTATTTTGCCATTGATTTTTTAATTTATTTAAAAAAACACACCCGAATCCCATCTCACCTCACCTTATCCAACCTAAAAAAAACTATTGTAATTTATTTAAGTAAAGGCATAATAGTTATTTTAGGTAAGATAAAAAACAAACAGTATATACCTTCCGAGTTAAAAAAATAAGTTAGCGACCAAACACGTAAATTAGCCCAAACTATAGGGACCATTCGTGTAATTTACTTATTTAGCAAAAAAGAGGTCCTACCGGGAGTCGAACCCAGGTCGCTGGATTCAAAGTCCAGAGTGCTAACCACTACACCATAGAACCTTAGCTCGCAATAACTGTAAATATTATGTATATATATAATACTTGTTGAAAATGTAGTATGAATTTCGATTTCAATTTATTTTTATCAAATCTCAATTTACGAAAAATATGTTTTTTATCTAAAAAATAAAGAGTTATTTTTTCAGATTATTTATAATCAGTTTAACCGCATGACAAATTGTTATGTCAAAAGGGAGGAAGGTAAAAGAAGTTTGATTCGAAAGTGTTTTCGTGGATTAATAAATGTGCATGTTAGGGTGTAACGGGGTAGTTTCTAAAGCACAAGTGTACATATATGTAGCTAATAGTGTAATTGATCATAAGAATACATGAGAAAGAAATTAAGGTACTTAACCTTGTTTGTATCAACTGGATTAAACCACATCTTATGTAAAAATATATATAATCTAAGTTAATCTATTTTTATTTTAGCGAAATTAAAATTTACTCCCCTAACCGTCAAGAATTGGACATGCACTTTCGTTGCTAAATTATTATAAGCCTTGTGCTCTTAGTTTAACTAATTTTTTTTTACCGATGAATTCATATAAACAAACTAAAATTACCATAAGGGACATGATAATAATAAATATGATGTCAAAATGTAATTTTTCTCTTCAAGTTATATTTCATTAGTATTGAGTGAATTGATTGTTATTTTCTATATTGTGTTATAATTAGATGTCAAAAACCACAACAGACTTTCTTTGTATTGCCGGAGAAAAGCACAAAAAATAGGATATAGATCAACTACAAAATAATAAATCTCAATTAAGCTAAAAACTCTCAACTTTGACAAGGAACTACATCTTTGGAGCACACCTTTCAAATGAATACATAATATAACTATTTATAGAGAGTACACAAAGTCAAGGGAACTAGTCTCCACAATAAGACAAGACTCCACATCATCATCGATGTAAAGCATTGCACTCGAACATTCTCTCCCTTAATGCTTGAAACTGATGATTCGAATCTCAAAAACCATATTATGAATCATCAACTAGCAAAAGAAAAAAATGTAATATAGCAATGAGAACCAATGAATAAAGTGACTCAAAATCACAAAGCTTCAATGCTCTCCAAAACTGGATTATGGGATATTTTAAAATTCAAAATAGGCTCCAAAAGGCGTAATTAACCTTGACAACCAGTGTCCATGAAATCATACTTCAGAATTACATTTCCGAACCACTACTTGTTTCTTTAAACAATGAAGAACCCCCCTTCAATGTTACATCGAAGATCAAATAATCAATGAAGTCCATTGGCTAATGATATAAACACCCAAAATGGCATGTAAAGAATTAGAAACTTGATTCCCAACTTGTAACACCCAAAAATTTTCAACCAATTTAAACTTTTAAAAACATTTCAAACCATTAAAAATCA